CTTATCATTTCCACATACATTTTCGTATTCCTCTAAAATGTATATAAATGCTCCTTTGTTGATGCGAAAATTTTTGAAGAAACTGTAAATGTATATGCATRTAAACAAAGTTATCTATGTCGTTTTTAGCTTAAATACTCACTTATAATCATCCATTTCCAATATGTCTTTTGAATTATTCCTCAAATTTCTGCGCTCAGGACGAATTTGTATACAATCTTCATCCTCATTATCGCTATCACTTAAATGTAACATGATTGTATCCATTTCAAATATTTATATAAACGAAGCAAAAGCCCAGGCAATTTAATTTTTCAAACTTGTCAAATTTACCGTCGATAATGTAGTTTGACATTTGTGTTTTTTGATAAAGCAGTTTATCGACGGAATGAATGATTGCATGAAAATTTTCGAWCGAAAATCTGTATCGTATCGAAATCGAATTCGTTGCGGATTCAATGATTAGTCCCATTATATAATATGTATATATACCTCTATTTCTAACTCGATTATTTGAGGTGATACGAACTCCAATTTACCTTTTTGAATGGACTTCGACATTCCGTTACAGCTGGTCAAAATTCGTGATATTTTAATGAAATGACTAGGAACGATTTCCTAAAAATTATGTGCTTTAGCGCTGGAATTGTAAGAAATTGGTCCAAATATCATATACTTAATCAAGGGTGTTGTGCAATCCAAGGCAGAATTGCGATCGTTCGTATAACTTGAAATTATTGATAATTGGTAAATCCGCAAACCCCCATTGCTTAAAGGGGTTTGAAAACCCATTTGTATATGCCAAATCGCAAAAGTCTTGGCGGCGCAGATACGCTGATGCTGTAAAAGGAACCTGGGCCTCAGTATCTCGGCCTTGCGCGTAGTTAGCAGCAATGTTGAGTAAAAGCGTGATATAAAGAGATAGAGACTAAACTTGTACATAGACGACGAGTCGTACAAGTATGTCCGAGCAGCAAGCTTTCGTTTATAATATAGGTTTACCACGGTCTTGAGGCCATAGAAGCCTACAATGGCTACCGGGAGCGAGGAAGCGGATAAGTGGATGAGGCTGCTACTCAACCAAGTGAAAATAAGGCGGAGCAGGTTGCGGCCTTGGAAGTCCCTGCCGCGGAAGTAGCATAGAGAACTACTCGATTGGCTACGAGACCCAATGGATGGCATCACGAATGACGGCAGGGATGAGGATTTGCCCTCATCGAACCAATACTCTAGTGGCCGTCAAGTGCAAGTTGCCCAGGTGAACCTGCACCACACTGCGGCAGCCTTGGCTGTCATAGCGAGCAGGTTCACTTCGGATAAACTGGGCATCCTGGCAGAGGGAAGGTTAGAGACCTCAAGACAAATTCCAACAATGTAATCTGGGATCTCTCTAGCGAGAGACCTAGAACTTGAGTAGTAGTCAGGAACATATTGACTTCTTTTGCATTTCAGAATTACTGACGCAGGATCTAGTGGAGGTGCAAGCCAGGGAGTTCGAAGGCAAGGATTTCGTCCTGACTTCGGTCTACCTCCCAGGGGAGGCATCCACGGCACCCCCGGAGGGGTTTGGAAATGCTGGTGGAACACTGCAGAAAGGCACCGGATTCCCCTGAAAATTGGCTGCGATGCGAACGCCTGCTACGTGGAATCGGGCAGTACAAACTGCAACGTAAGAGGTGAGTCTCTTTTAGAGTACTTAGTAGGAAGTAGCTTAGCGATAGAAAATGTAAGGTGTGAACCCACATTTATAACTATAAGCAGGAGAGAGGTGTTGGACATCATCTTAAGCAATGAGCCTGCGAACGGATTGGTCTCACAATGCAGAGTCTCGACGGAGCCCTCCTTGTCAGGCCACAGGATTGTAAGGTTCACGCTGAAGTTAGAGGTCAGACAGCTCCCCCCAAGACGCAACCGTAGGAAGGCAAACTAGTGTGCTTTCAAGGATATAATACGTGGGAAACTAAGCGGGAAGGGGCAGACTGATAATAGCGTTTCAGGCCCAGGACTGCAGAGTAAGTTATCTGAGCTGAACGGGTCTGTTATTAGCGCTTATCACGGCAGCTGCCCCCAAAAAATTACCACAGATGGACGAAACTGGCTCTAGTGGTAAAGGAAACTGGCAGATCTCCGGAAAAAACCGTTCCCACAACAGTCGGGTCTACGAAAACCGGAACGGACCCGGATTTTTATCCGGCCAAGGACTGTCAACTCTGCAGAATTTCTGCCGTTACAGAAACAACAACAACCTCCGGAAAAAAGTATGTAGCCTATTCAACAAAGCGAAATGAATGGAGGTCTGGGAAGAATACAGGATCTACCTCACCTTATACAATAGGGAGATTAGATCTGCAAAGCAGGCAAGCTTCAAAAGATTCTGCGAAAGTGTCACCTCTACACCAGAAGCGGCTCGGTTGAATAAAGCAATCGCTAGTGGCACAAATGGCGCAGTAATAGCAATTAAAAGGCAAACGCAGAGAACAGAGCCACGGAGCTTCTGCGGGAGCACTTCCCGGAGACTATTCGGGAAGACCAATGTCTTCCCGTCATCGAACACATGCCGGGAGGATTGGAGAATCGCCAAACAATTATATACAGCGGACACGATCAGGTGGGCAATGGCCTCGTCTGAAAGTTTCAAGTCTCCGGGAGTGGATGGCATCTTTCCAGCGCTGTTACAACAGGGGGAGCAGTTTTCACTGCCTCACCTGGTTCGGCTGCTGAGAGAAAGCCTCCTAACGATCGAAGCTGCAGCGACTAGCCTGTGTCTGCATGACGTGCGCAATGCGTACCTGTTCAACGGCGGCACTGGAGGTTCTGCTGGAACTTACTCCGCTTCATTTGGTTATAGGTCAGGTAGCCAAACACACTCTTCTGCAAATAACTGCAGAGGGGTGTGGCAAAGGCAAGGTAGTCTCGTCACAAAGAATGAAAAATATAAGTGGCAATATACCAATAGCCCTCCTCCCGAAGGACATCACTACCAATACAGTTAACTTCTAGAAAAAGTTTAAGGTCACCCTCGGCAGCAAGAACGAGTGGGATGACTCCAAGCTAGACCGTTCCCACGATAGTCGGGTCTACGAAAACCGGAACGGACCCGGATTTTTATCCGGCCAAGGACTGTCAACCGGGCAGATTTCTGCCGTTACAACAACAACTCCAAGCTAGAGCTGAAGTTGAGGAATAGCACGTTGAGATCGTACACCAATGGCTCAAAAATGTCGGAGGGAATCGATGCAGAATCATGGGCCATTAAATAATATCCGTGCTGGGACATTAAATAAAATATTTGTGGAAGTGGAATTTTCACATTGTCGAACCAGGTATCGCTCGACCTTGCCAACGCAGTTCGGTTCCGACAACCACCTTTCCAGCACCGGAGCACCCCAACAGAGCTACCTTTATTTAATGATACCGTCGTTGGAACTTTATGCGTGTGACACATTTTAGATTTTAAATTCAATCCTTACTCTTCCGCAAGGAAATACATTTTTCTTTAGTATTAAATGTTTGGATGATTTTTACAATATTCCACATTGATTTCACTTCCGACGCTTTAAGCACATTGGTTCGCTCTACGACACCTCGGCTAGTTGACGCTCCGACACAATATAATCTTATCACACATTTATATTTTTATCAATTTAAAACTTATCTTACTTACCTGATAAATTTGCACTCATTTTTCAAAATACACTTAACTTTTAATAATTATATATTAATATATATTTTAAATTTTATATGCTTTCGGCCGCGCTTCAATAAAAAATGACCCTGGCCGATCCAACACTGGGGTGTCAGATTTTTTTATTTTGAGTAAAACTCATTTTTGGCTTTGGCGGCCTGCCCTATCAAAAATCATGATATATCATGAAAAGGGGCAATAATTTATGTATTTGGGGTATAATCTTATTTTTTATTAATTTTTATTCGTTTGATAAATGTCTAATTATGACAACACTTACTATCTGTCAAAAAGGAATACTTTTGTTATTTTGCATGGAATGAAAATTGTGTAAAATATAAAATGCTTCTTTTAAGCAAATAACAAAAAAGGTTCTGTTTAATATCGCGCCGGTTAATCTTGGCTCACTGCACCTAAACGAGAGAACCAAATTGAAAATTTTAAACACGCATGTATGCTTAAATTGTCGAACCTTATATTAAAGCATATTTTATAAAAATCGGTTCACAAATTTTTCCACAAATTCACTTTAAAAAATGCTATTTTTTTTGCAAATTTCTAAATATATGCTAGTGTATTTTCATCTGTTGTGCATTGTACCAAACCAATTATGGATCGATTTTCACTCAGATATATTACTTATGAATTATAAAAACCACTAGTAATGTTTTTAATTACTTTTGATTGTTGATTTCTTTGTAAATCTTTAAATAAAATACACCTTTTTCTGCATTGAGTTCAATACTGCGAAAAACCAAATGACTGCCTAATTTGAAATATCAAATTACCGAGAAAGCACGAACAAAAGGGAATAAATTAAACCCACTTAGCAATAAATGTAAGAAGTGAACGGAAAAGGTGTTCAATGCTAAAATACTGAGGATGGCATAGCCGGTGTTGGACCGGCCAGGGTTATTTTTTGAAAGCGCGGCCGAAGGCCTCCAATGCAGAAAGGAATGAAATGCTAAAATACTGTGGAGGAAATCCCGGTGAATCATTATGTTACTATAACCACACCGCCAACCGTCGAATATATGTGGCGGCGATCTATTCAAAAACAAGAAAAAGATCAATTGGCTGGGATTTAGAATAGCATCCCCGGATTTCGGGTATAAAATGGGTATCACTGGAAAGGTGACGTTCTCCAGATCACGAATATATATAGTTGCCGCTGACTTATAGTTTTAAAGATATTTGCATTTAAAGTTGAAAAATTTACAACTTTTACATTGAAAATTTGTATATTGTGAATAACTTTTTCACTTATATTATGCACTTTTCACTTACTAACACTTCACTATAACGTTTCTGTGTATTAAATTTTCTAATATTTGTTGTAAATAAAGCTTTATTTCAATTATTTTGTTTTAGTTAAATTATCTGCATTTGCACAATAAGAAAAGGGTTGCAATGGATATTTTTAGGGCCACGCTCAATTAAGGTTATACTATATATTTTAATAATGGCGTAATACGTTACCTCTATAGAAAAAATGTTGCTTGGGTTACTTCGGTATTAACGGTATATTGATTTCAATGGAATTCAAATTTGTATTATGCTATATTCACGTGCCTTAATTAAAACCGGTGTTTTTTCGCTCTTGGAAATTTTTAATATAATTAAATAAAGAAACTGCTTTCAAACTTTATATTGACGTCAAATAACCAATCAGGTAAATATAATATGTTATTTAGCTCTCTGGAAAGTGGGCAATATATTACGTCCATATAAGGAAAATTTGGAATAAAAAATTGCGCGCCACCCCACCCCACCCCTTTTCTCATCCTATGTAAAGTAACCCAAATGTATATAAGACCTACCATTTTGATTCGTTGGTGGGTTATTACTGTTTTCCTTTTGTGCTTATTTTCTTCGTCGTTTGATGTGTGGAATACAATGCTCGCGACAGACTGCAAACGACATCTGTCAAATATTAAAATACACACATAGAGTTGACAGTAGAATGGAAGATAGAGAGATGAGGTAATTGATAATTTAAAACAAATAAATTTACCTATTTACTTATTTTTTGCTTAATTTGACTAACAAAATATTAAAATTTCATTGAAGTGCAAGGTATTAGTATAGCCACAACGAAATTGTGTACATGCAAAATGGACAACTGCGTTGTTTTGTGTCCATGCCGGCCATTATGTTGCTGCCCTCTCACAAGCGTTTATATCGTAGGATTCACAACGCCATTTTCAGTTCACTGCCGTGCTGCTGCAGTCTGTCGCCAGCATTGTGTTCCGCACATGACAGTTCCAGGGTTCCCGATTTGGTAAAATTTTACCAAATGTGGTAAATTATTTTCCTCTTGGTAAAATGTGAAATTTTTATTCATTTTGGTAAATTTTCAAAATTTAAGTCCATTTCGAATGAATTGTATTATCTTTAATTTTTTTCAAATAGTTTTGTAGAAACATTTTAAAAACGTACCATAAAATTCTTCCCTGGTTAGTAGTCTAAAGCACATTTGACATAAATGAAACCAGCACTGTTCCAGCGTTACCAAAAATAACAAAAAATTTATCAAATAACAACGGGCACAGTAAAAACACCAATGTGGTTGCCATTATTTGGTTAATTTTTTGTTTATGCAACGCTGCACTGTTCTTCTGCTTTCCACGTGTCAAGTGTTGTTGCATATTGCGCGTTTAAGTTTTTTTTAAATAAACTCATATACAACAATAAATAATAACAAATCATGGATAGGTAAGTGAAAATGTGCTCATAGTTGTTTAATTTTGATTCCAATAATATCATCATATGTTTTATTCATTTAGATTTGTTAAAAAAAAGACCTGCACCTCCTGAAGAGGAGCATGAAACCAGCAGTGACAGTGGCCGCAGATAAGATAGTTTGCTAAGTATACGGCCAAATGTATCATGTCTTTATTATTGCAGGGAAACACATCCTGTAAAACAAACTTGGAGAAAATTCCGAAATGACTGGCTATCGAGATTTTCTTGGTTGCGGAATAAAGATGGGTGTAGCTATTGCATAGGTTGTGATAAGCTGTCAAACCATAAATGGTCTCGAATTGCACAGCAGTTTCATTGCGGCCGAACAAAAGCTACAGAATTGGTGGATGAGTTGGGTAAGAGGTCATGTGAAGAAATTACCGAAAAATTAAGAACCAACATATTTTCTCTGATTGTGGATGAAACCACGGATGTTTCGACAAAAAAAAATGCTTAGTTTTAATTGTTCGATTTTTTGACAAATTTTCAAGAAGTGTTCATGACAAATTTTTAGGTTTAAAACCCATGCGAATTCCATCTACTTAGATATTAAAAAATTCTTTATGCAACGAAATATTCCTCTTAAACATGTTATCGGACTAGCAACCGATGGGGCAAATGTAATGGCCGGAGAATTGAATAGCCTAAAAGAAAAGTCGGACGTAGATCTTTTTTTTTATCAAGTGTCCCTTCATTTATGTTCATCTTACGCGTGTAAACAGTTGCCGCATCAATCGAACAACTTTGTCCCTCTATATACAGTTTTTTTTCTCAATTGAAGGAATTTCAAGAATATTGTCAGGTGGAGCCCCACAAAATATTAGGCGTTTCTTTAACAAGATGGCTTGCCTTGGAGCAGGTTATTAATAGAATTGTTCAACAATGGCTTCCACTATATTTATATTTTCTTGATCGTGTCTTAGAAGTGAACGGTACTAAAGCTTCAGACCTGACATTGCAAATGAATGAGTATACCTTTACATCCTTTCTTTTTTTATCCATTCTGAAAATTATCAATGATATGAATAAAGAATTTCAATCAGAAAAGGTTAGATTGCCATACTTACATTTGCATTTGGAATCCAATTTTAAATTAATAGTGGTCAATTTTATGTCAAACGCATATGTTCGAAATTTGAAATCTTTGAATAATATTGATTTATTAGACGAAGGAAATTATATTCAAATAGAAAATGTTTTTATTGGTTCCAAAGCAGAAGACTATTTGAAAAAAAGTAAATTAACTGATTTGCAGAAGGTAAGAATAAAAAGAAATATTCTCAAATTTTACTTAGAGCTCTTACAACAAATTAAGCAACGATTCGACTTTTCAAGAGAAGATGTTAAAAATTTAGTAATAATAACACCCGGTAAATTCTTTTATCCAACTCTGAACTATCGATTGAACCATTATCAAAAAACTTCCCAGGTTTGGCAACCAGCGATCCTGAAATTATAGTTAGCCAGTGGAAATTATTAAGGCTTACCGATTTGGAATTGAACACGAAAATGAATATTCTAGATTTATGGGAAAAAAATCAGTTTTTAAAAATGGAATGGAACAAGCATGCTTCCAATATCTCACAAATTTTGTATATAATTTGATGACTCCACCCCACAGCTCAGCAGCTGCCGAACGGAAGTTTTCCGATTTGTCTTTAATTAAATTGAAAACAAGAAATAAATTGTCATAAAAAACCATAAATAACATAATGCCAGAAGAGAACTTGCTAATTCTCAAAATGATGCAAATTATGTGTGGGCAGCTAAACATTACTTTAAATGAAATTTGATATTTGGTTGATTAATTTTGTCAATGTAAAAATACATATGAATATGTATTTATTTTGATCAACCAACTTTGATCCTAAAACTAAGTTTATTTCAATGTTTCTGGCTTGTCAAATAACTTGTTATTGTTAACAAACGCTTAATGAGCTTGAAGTCTATTAGAATTTTTGGAAAAATCGAAAAATCATCAACAATCAAAGAGGTCGAAGTTATAGCTATTGAGGAGATGTGGTGATCTCTTTGATTGTTGATGAATTTTTAAACTTTCCTAAAATTCGTATGGTCTTCAAGCTCATTTAACGATTGTTAACAATAACTAAATTTATTTCATTCACAGAAACAAGAAGTTATTTTATGACCAATTTTTTGTCATTAATGTTAAGAGAAACAAGAACTGAAGTTTATTTCAAATACTTTTAACTTTTTTAATTATTTCTTTTGTAAATAAAAAACGCTTAAAAAAAGTAAATGTGTTTCTTTTATTATTTTATAAATAAAATTTGTAAAAAAAATTTTGTTTTTTTTTAATTTGGTAAATTTTTTCAAGGGATTTGATAAAATAAAAATGTGATTCGTGGCAACCCTGGACAGTTCATATTCAGTAATTTTGCTTACATTTCAAGGAACAGTATAACACGTAATTGAAAGCTATGTTATTTATTAAATTGTACATAAAATTGCAACTTAAAATTCATAATTTTTCATTAATTCGGCACAATTCCGATTTCCTTGGCGCCGCGATCTGAAGGTACCGTTGGAAAGAGGAAATCCTCCTGATTAAAAACGCTTAGTTTAGGAGACATTCGACCTTAAATTTCAAAAATTCGAAAAATTCGTACATTTCAAGACGCTATTTCACCACATTAAACACACTTTATTCACATTTTTCATTTCAAATTAATTAAATTACACTATAAACTTGTAAATAACTCCATATCTTACACTTTTAGCAGGTTTTTTACCTAAAAAATCTGCATTTTAAAAATTACATTTTACACTCGTTTTAAACCAAACCAAAAATTACGACGAAATGGAGTGCTGCCATGTGATGATAAGACAATTCGTTGAAATTCCTCTATTTCGCAAAAATTCCTCTATTCACGCATATGGATATTTTCTTTTTGAAATGTATTAAGCAAATAAGTAATATTATATACATGTCTTAGTAATGTTATATAATAATATTGTATATACATATGTATAAGTAATATTATCTAATAATATTACGTAATAAAGCGTAAAGTATATTAGTACCGTGCGAAAATTCAAATTTTATTTCAATATGAGTGCATGGTAACCAACAAATATAACCACTTTAACCGCTTTATAACTCAATATATATTTTTTATTTTAAACGCAGAAAGGAGTACTACGCGAAAGTACTTCAGTCCCCCCGGGTATTCGCTCGGCCAGGGTTATTTTTTTAAAGTGCGGCCGAAGGCCGCCAACGCAGAAAGAAGTACTCCGCGAAAGTACTTCAGTCATCCCGACATGATATTATATAAATTTTATAATACTATATTATCATAGAGTTTTAATTATATGTGTTTATTAAATATAAATCACATATTATACACATACATATGTATGTAAAATGTATAATATGTGGAAAAAGGTTTCACAACTCAATTATAACTTAAAAGTTAGAAAGTATCTTTTACTATAATTAATGTAGAAAAAAGAATCACGCAAAAAAAAATCGTTAAGAATTCTACATATTTGGTGTTTACGATGTGGCAACGCTCGTTTTCCTTATAATTGTAAACAATCTAACCTTTGCAACGCCGAGATCGCTAAGTGATTTTTAAATTAATAAATTTAGGTGAAATATTACAAAATAAAACTGAAATGTGAACTTATTTCAATGTTTAGTGTATATTTAAATATAGAGTGAAAAACGTGACTAAATTTAATGGAAGATAGAGAAATACCTTGTTATTAGTGCATATTTTTAAACTTTTAATCGTGAGTATTTTAAAATATATAAGTAATTTTTATATTGTTTTTTGATATTCCTCCTCTGGAGAAGCTCCCCTATCCGGACATACTCCATTTACACGGAAATTCGGTTTTTTTTTTACCCCTCCGCCAAAGTAATCGGAATCGTGCCAATAATTCAATTAAATATACAAGAATGTGTGTGTTAAATTGGTTAATTTTTTGGGGAATGTTTAGTATCGCGCCAGTTAAATATCGTTTATGGAGAAAAACAGGGTCGGGCTATCCCCACTCCCGACCCCTTATTGAAAAGAGGAAGGATCGAACTTTTTAATAAACCCTCCCTCGACCCCCTAGATCCCCTATGGACCTGTAGGGAGGCCTTTGAAAATTACCAAAAATCAGTGTTTTTGCTCATTTTTCCATACAAACTGAAACCAATGCAACACAGCAACATTTTGGTATGGACAAGAAATCAAAATAAATAAAGCCAAAATGTTCCAGTGCAATGTATATACGTATATAATTGCATCCATCCTTCGACCGCGCTTTAAAAAAATAACCCTGGCCGGTCCAACACCGGCTACGCCATCCACAGTATTTTAGCATTGAACACCTTTTCCTCCACAGTATCATAGCATTTCATTCCTTTCCGCACTAGCGGCCTTCGGCCGCRCTTCAAAAAAACAACCCTGGTCGATCCAACACCGGGGTGTTCAGGGTTCTTCGCGTAGAACTCCTTTCTGTACTGTCGGCCTTCGGCCGCGCTTTAAAAAAAAAACCCTGGCCGATCCAACACCGGCAACACAATCTACAGTATTTTAGTATTGAAAACCTTTTCGCGTTCACTTCATACATTTATTGCTAAGTGGGTTTAATTTATTCCCTTTTGTTCGTGCTTTCTCGGTAATTTGACAGTTCAAATTAGGCAGTCATTTTGGTTTTCCGCATTATTGAACTCAATGCAGAAAAAGGTGTATTTTATTTAAAGATTTACAAATAAATTAACAATCAAAAGTAATTAAAAACATTACTATTTAATTTTATTTTATAATTCATAAGTAATATATGTGCGTGAAAATGTATCCATAATTGCTTTGGTACCATTCGAAACAGATGAAAATAGACTAGCATATATTTAGAATTTTGCAAAAAATAGCATTTTTTAAAGTGAATTTGTGGAAAAATTTGTGAACCGATTTTTATAAAATATTATTTAAAACAAAGCTCGATAATTTAAGCATACATGCGTGTTTAAAATTTTCCATTTGGTTCTCTCATTTAGGTACGGTGAGCCAAAATTAACCGGCGCGATACTAAACACAACCCAATTTTTTTGCAAGCAGTGCTACAAAAACTTCAAAAGAAGAGAGCCATTGTTTGTGCAAATGAGCATTTTTGGTTACTTATATCTAAATTTAAAAAGGTCCGTGCACGCATTTAAGAGGAATAAGCAGTGAAAAGGAGATACTGAAACGAACCCAACCCGTTTGCGGCGGCAACAATTATATGTTGTTGTTGTTGTAACGGCAGAAATTCTGCCGAGTTGACAGTCCTTGGCCAGATAAAAATCCGGGTTCGTTCCGGTTTTCGTAGGACCGACTGTCGTGGGAACGATTGTCTTAATCTGGAGTATCAGCCTTATCCAACCATACCACTTTTAACCCTGTAACCATGGGATGGTATACCAAAGTTTCCCCACTTTATATAATAAACTTTAGTTCTTACATGATGTGCTCAAAAAACGAAATTTCGAATCTTCTGCTTCCATTATTAAAGAGTTACGACCCAAAGCGTCTCTGCAAACATACAGAATTCCGGTGGTCTTGTTGTAGATTATCAGACTAAAAGGACCTTCTAATGATTGAATTATACTACAAATATCGCTTTCACATCGACATTTGGATATTTCATTTCCCAACCACTCCGTGTCAGAACATGAACTTAATTCACAAGGCATATTAAATATATCGCCGTTAAATAGTATTAGAAAATTTCCAGTTTCAAAAGGTTGGGGGCAAATACTTAATCCTTGCTGCCAAAGAACTGAACATGCAAATTCCATTTGCACATTATCATAATTTACAATAACAGAAGATGAAAAATCAGGTCCCCGTCGTAACAAAATATTTTTAATCTCAGTACTCTTAGAAATTCCATCACAATTTATAGCACAAAGTATGCCGCACATGATTTAAGTTATACTGGAGATGATACAAGAAGTAAACCATACCTTCTAAGACTAAGTTCACACTCGCCATATAAATAAATAGATACGAAATTCTTTCAGACATATTCTCGCGCCCTCTCAAAAATCACCACCATCAATATTGTTTATTTGTTACCTCACAAATATGTTATGAAATCAAACCACACAATGCAAAATCGGTTGTGCTTGTTTTTTTAATTTCAATATTTTTAATGAAATTCGCAATCATTTTATTCAAATAAGGTGTTTGTAAATTTTACTTTCTTCTGAGTATTAATAAAAAGAACTATACATTTTTATGTTTAAATAATTTGGCGAATATTTTATTTGTAAATATGCATGTATGTATTATTTAATACATGAGCGAATAGAAATATATTTATGCTTAAATAATATGGTGTAATGCTGCAGCTGCTCCTAAGTCTTTCTTTCACGTTTTGAAATCCTAAAAATGAATTAAATTATTATATATGCACCAAATTTAATAAATTTGCGAAATTAATTTTCTTGGTTTTGTCTTATGTGTTTTTGTAAACCCGTTGGTTCACAGCAAAGTGCTTTTAAACTAATGTGGTGAGTGTTTTGGGTTTTTTCTTGTGAGGTTTGAGCAAGAATAGCCTCAAAAAATAATACTCACAAACCAGTTGTCGGGTTTTTTGAGAATAGGGCTGTTTGATTCGAGAGCTGTGAAAACTCGCATTTTTTGTAACATTTTAACACTGCTGAAAAATTTTAGATTGGGCATTTTATAAATAACTTTTGGGTATTTTGCAATTTCCACACAACCACTGAAGTATGCAAATAGCGCGTTCACCATGTTATTTTTGGGTGCTCGGTGCCCCAGTAAGCCTATATCACCCATATATACCATATAAATAATTTTACAATGTACTGGCAGAGAACGTGTATTAAAGAGAAGGTTCATGGTGCGCCGATCGTCAAAACATTCCTCTTTTTAGAGGGGCTGATTTTTCTGTCAGTTTATTTCACCACAAATAATTATTAGCGGATTTCACCAATATTTAACATGAGAGGGTCGAAAATAGCAGAATTGAGTATTTCCATTGTTAAATGAGAAATGTAAGCTTACATATTCGCGTATTTACAATGCGCAAACGACTATGGATATCGTTTATAGATATTACGAAAGATATATGTTTTTTATATCAAAGTACACATATATAAGTATATATGTACATAGAATAAAGTCATATTTGTATAATTACCTAAATATTATAATTAATATAATTATAATTAATATTTAATTGTTAAGTAATTATATAGYGTATATAGTATTTATATACACATGTATCTTTTTATTTGCTTTGGGCATTAAAGGTGTTGATAACTTTTAAAAGACCATGCCGTCCAACAGATTCACATAAGCGTGTAAAAATATTTTAAAAAACCGCACGTATAATTTTCACATATTCAGATATGTATGTATGTATGTATGTAATTTTGTGTGCACGTAAACAAATTTGAAAGAATCATTCGCATAATGTTTGTAAAGTTGTCCATTGTTTCATACAAAAGCTCGGTTGTCACGGGCAACCAATGGCCGATTTTCACGTTTTGTCAATAAGTCAATGTGTCGAAGGACTGACTTGACGACAAAGCAAAAAGAAAATCCTAGCTTTGGCGAAAAATATAAACGAACGGCCGCCGATTGTCACCGCTTCCATTGCCTCTGTACAGCTTCTGTCCAGTCAAAAACGCTACTGCCTTCCTTCCTTTTTCCTTCCTTAGCGAGCAATGTGTGAACAGTTGACCCGTGGCAAAAAAGCAGAAATCAGACATCTTTGTTTGTTTTCATTTGAACAATGTTGCCATTGCTCAATACGCATATATAGTTTTGTACACATCTATGTTTTCAATTAAAATTTTTTTACAAAATATCAAAACTGAAAACAAATTATTAANTATAAATAATAGCATTCGACTCTGATTTTGAGTTAATTTAAGAAAATTTCAAACATATTGAACAGATTGAATTATAAAAGTTGATAATGGCTGAGTTCCAAGTTGCATGTTGCTTTGCATTAGTACGAAGTATAGAATTCCTTAAAATCAAACTGCTTACGATATGCAAAGTATCGAGTACCGATAAATTTTTATGCGTATTGGATGTGCATACATTGAGCATAGGGCGCACTTCTATTATTTGTGATGCTCAAATCTCAGTATATACAGTAATAAACCTTTGATTTGTTTACATACATATACTCAACTGTAGAAAATCTTAGGGCTAAAAGTAAATAGAAAAAAATTTGCTAAGTATTTACTACCTTAATATATACAGCACTGCGTTGCTACCTCTGAAAATCCAAGATGGCCGCTATTCACCCCTCAGAAAGCTACCACGAAAAGGTTGTCTACTGTATATACTGTGGCTCAAATTTTTTTCCATTGAACAATCCAAGCAATGTCGCTTTTTTCTCTTGTTCTTCAAATGATTTTTAATGATTATCGAAGAGTTGCTGCGGCTACTTTCACATAAATATAAAAAATTGTTAATAAATAAATTTATATTCACATTTGCTCCCATAGCTGTTGATTGTTTTGAAAACAATTGCCACAAAATCTCAAAGTTGATACAAAGCAAATCGAAACAAAGCAGTAGGGTTGCATTGTTGATATTGTATAAATTCGGTATCGGTATCGCAACAATGCAAAGCAACATGCAACTTGGAACTCATTCAATTACTACAGTATATAGACATTGGCAACCTTGCGTTGTAGAGAGCAATCAGCTGACACGTTTCTACGGCACAAATCCAAATGCCGTGAATTCTCAAGGCATCCTACGGCAAAGAGAGAAGGGAGTAGCGTTGTTCCCTGTTCACTTACATTGCGGGTCCATAAGATAGGTCTTATCAGCTGACACGGGCCACGAATCTACGTTCTCCACTGTTTCTGGTATTCGCCTACAAACCAGAGAAAATATGTTTATTTGTGTGTGAGCTTGAATAGATATCGGCGCAGATTATTGCGAGCTGCGCAAAAATATTTCAGAATTGCAAATTATTTTTTACATTCCTTGGCAAATACAGTCAATTCCGGTTATATGCCACAATCAAAGATAAAGATTTTTATGGTTTGATAAAAAGAAAAGTATAATGTGGTACATAAGGGAGTGTGAATACTTAGCGAGTGGTACTTGAAACAATAATTGCTATGTATGTATAATATTTCAAAAAAGAAATATTGCTTGTAGAGTTGCATAATTTAATAATAGTGTTATCAATTTTGCATGAATTTATAAAAATTCGCAAAATGATATTCATATAAGTTGACATGTTAGCGTATAAAAATGTTAGCCAACATAGGTCTTTAAAAGCAATGTATATCTCTGAGCACAATATTTATTCAATCAATGCTCAGCATTGCTCACTCATTTCTGTTAAAATTTCTCCTGCCGAGCCAAAAGTGGTGAAATCCACTAATAGAAAAATCATGGCTCTTCCATCTTTGATCAGAGAGAAAAAGATCATTGTTACCAGATTCAGGGATAAAGGGACGTAAAACTTGTACCAGTGTGAGAGCGCTTACAAATTTAGGTTTTTATAACATTTTCCATTATGGCCACATCGGACAAAAAATTACTTTTGAGCATTTAAATTGAAAGAACCAACATTTTATTACGATTAAAAATTAATATATAGAGGTCGTTTAATATATGGACAAACTATTTAAATATATTTTAGTATGTTAAAATAACTGGCTTAAGCGTCTATTCACTACACAATAAAAGGACTTGGGCTTGTTAGCTTTCAATAAATAAATGTGTTTCACATTACAAACCGTTTCATCAAATATATTTAATTTTCACAAATTTATTAAATTTTTATTGTCTTATATTTTTTGTAAGTCGTTTTGAATGATGCGACAAATCCGATTACATATTTTTTTGGTAAGATTTCAATCCGGCCATCTCTCATTTCAATCTCTCAATGACTAAACGTCAAAACCTAATGAAGACCTGTCAAAATTGAGTTCTCTCACTTCCTGCGATCTTACTCAAGATTGAGTTTCATGTCAGATGATTTATCGGCAAATCAGTGACAATTGGTGCCAGTAATGGGATTCTCAAATAAACTCCCAAAGAGATGATTGTTTTAAAATGACTAAGTTTAACGATCTCAAGATTTAACAACTAAAAAAGTGGCAAGAAATGGAATAAAAGTCAATTCAGCAGAAAACGTTAAGTGACAGAACTATACCCAATTCCTAATCAAGAGACTGAACCTGTAACGAAACTTTGTATCTGGAAAACACGTATCATTATATAACATCCGCAGACCGAAAGCATGGTAGAGCAATTAAATCGAACTTTGGAAGAAATTTTTAGGAAATTGGAACACAAGTACCGGGTCTACCAAAAAGAACGACGTGAATTTAATTAAAATAAAACACTCAAATTTGATCAAAATGGATTATGTTTTTGTTAGGTGGATAGTTTCATGTCATTTACGATTTGAACACGATGTCGGCCAAATAGCCATCATGGCTCCGTTTGCAGAACTCCACGCGTTTCCGCCAATTTTCTATAACCCGGTGTAGCCTTTCAATGTTTGGGGATGCAATTGCGTTTCCTGAACCACATAAAAATTTGATTCACCCCAATGGCAACAAGTTATCCTTTATTCTGTCCCTGGTTTTTAATAACCTATATATCCTCCGTGATTTGTTACAAGTTCTTTCGGCATGCATTGAATCAGTTCTTGGCAGGTTTCACCTAGGGATGGATAGATTGCTTACAGAATCGATTATCGATTCCCATTATTTTTTATATTTTTCGATTCTAATAATCGAGCGCAAGAATTGATTCTTTCGATTTTAATCGATTTTAAATTAAAAGGACAAAAATTTATTTATTAAATCGCAAGGCATAAATTGAAAGAATAATTCAAATCGATTAAATAAAACATTAAAAACAGTTATATTTTTTTGTAAATAATGTAGCAAGAACATTACATTTCATACAAATTTTTTTTTAAATTCAAATTGTTT